TTTTGGTTTCATCTGACCATATGCCATTCTCCCAATCCTCTTCTGGATCATTCAAATGCACTCTAGCAAACTTCAGACGGGCCTGGACATGTACTGGCTTAAGCAGGGGGACACGTCTGGCACTGCAGGATTTGAGTCCCTGGCGGCGTAGTGTGTTACTGATGGTAGGCTTTGTTACTTTGGTCCCAGCTCTCTGCAGGTCATTCACTAGGTCCCCCCGTGTGGTTCTGGGATTTTTGCTCACCGTTCTTGTGATCATTTTGACCCCACGGGGTGAGATCTTGCGTGGAGCCCCAGATCGAGGGAGATTATCAGTGGTCTTGTATGTCTTCCATTTCCTAATAATTGCTCCCACAGTTGATTTCTTCAAACCAAGCTGCTTACCTATTGCAGATTCAGTCTTCCCAGCCTGGTGCAGGTCTACAATTTTGTTTCTGGTGTCCTTTGACAGCTCTTTGGTCTTGGCCATAGTGGAGTTTGGAGTGTGACTGTTTGAGGTTGTGGACAGGTGTCTTTTATACTGATAACAAGTTCAAACAGGTGCCATTAATACAGGTAACGAGTGGAGGACAGAGGAGCCTCTTAAAGAAGAAGTTACAGGTCTGTGAGAGCCAGAAATCTTGCTTGTTTGTAGGTGACCAAATACTTATTTTCCACTATAATTTGCAAATAAATTCATTACAAATCCTACAATGTGATTTTCTGGAGAAGAAAAAATCTCATTTGTCTGTCATAGTTGACGTGTACCTATGATGAAAATTACAGGCCTCTCTCATCTTTTTAAGTGGGAGAACTTGCACAATTGGTGGTTGACTAAATACTTTTTTCCCCCACTGTACCTGGACTGGAACACCCTCAGCGGGTTGGAAACAACTGGAGGCATCAGGGGAAATGGAAAGAGAGCCTGTGACAAGACTTCTGCTTTTGGAGGTTAACAGAGGACACTGCATCTTAACTCCACATTTACCGGATTGGTTGAACAGTACAGAAGAGAACCTCACCCTTACATTTTTTTCTCTTGTCAGGACCATTAAGAAAGGAACGGCGCTCAGTCGTTTCTTTTACGCCTGATACTTTAGGTTAGGACTGGAATGACTCTAACCGTGAAATGCATCCTTGGTCAGAAGGGAAGCATCAATCTGGAGTGTTTGTATGTGGCTAATGTCCCCCTAGGCAGCAGCAGCCCTGGGCTGAACCCTCCAGAGAGACCTGCACCACAGTGTAGCCTAGACTGTTCAGGCCATATCAGTCATAAAGCCACAGCTATCAGTGTTCATTTAGTCAAGACCAAATAGCTTCCACTTCCAACCCCCCCACCCCCCGGTCTCCCCACCCTCTCCCAGGCAGCTCTGGCCTGATGTGTGCCGTGCTGTCTGGCCGTTGAGGCCAGGGCATCTCTTTACCTCCCTGTGCCCTGGCTGTCTGAGCAGTCGGTAAATAAAGACAGTCAGGGCAGGGCAGGGCTGCCCATACATACTGATGTGTGTGTTAGGAGGCCTGTCCCAGGGGAAACATAAATCTCTTAACATGCTCGTTCTCATTGGTGCTGACAGCTTAATCAATTTTCCTCCTCTTTGGATGACCTCTGTTATGCTGTGGCACGGCCGTGTGGCCAGAATGAATGTCCTGGTCATCTAATAGCCCTCTATCTCCCGCTCTCTCTCGCTCTGAATTTCTCAATCTATCGCGCCCTCTCCCCTCGCTCTCTTTCTCTATCTCTGCATTTCTCTCCCTCTCTTTCTCGTATCTTTTCCATTGTTTTCCATTAACACCGTCCATCGACTAATCGGACGGTTAGAGACTCATTTTCAGCCGGCTACTTTTTCCACTTAATATTAATTAGGCTACTTTTTTATTTAAAAGTTTCAATTAGCTAATCCATCGATCTCTTTACCGCTAGAATGAACGATATGCATCTTCTAGCGATCTATTGATAGGATAGGCGCCTGTCAGTCAAAAAGCGAGTGATGACAGGTAAACGCAGTCTGCCGTCTGTCCCGCCTCCCGGTACAATATGTGTGCGCTGTGGTTGGTTGCAGTCAAATTTCTTTACACGCATGATGCTCGTGAATTTGCACGTTCCATGTAATGGAAGTTGTATCAATGAGTCGAAATCCACTTAGCCTAATTATTGTTTTCTGGCACATTTCAATTATTTTCTTTCAAATGTTTCACATAACCAGCCATGCAGAGTCATGGCACAGGCTATTTACTGTGCTTTGATTGACAACTGAACAGCAAGTGTGGACTAGTTTATAAAAGGTGTCGAATTGAACAAATAAAGTACATCTCCTATATCCTTTTGCCATTTCTAAATCATGCAATGTGGTTATGTCCATGGTATCGTATCGGGACAAGTAAACCAAAGGATTTCCTAGGTTTTCTTTCCTAGAATGTTGGTCCTTGCCGGACACTGATGCTAAAGTGTGTGACTCGTCTCGTCACAGTCAGTGTAGCCTATCGAATCGGTGAGAGCCATTCATTTGGCTCCCTAGTTTGCGTAGGCTACTGGTAGGCTTAGGCTTTTTGGCGATTATATTCAGATAAATTATGAAAACATTTTATGAAGATGGTGAATCGTCACTACATCAATAGGTAGTGGAGAGCCTCATTCTAGTCCAAATATGATATTTAGAGCCCTCATGGAATCCAGGAATTAAAATGGAATTCAAAAATATTAAAACACGTATTGACCTTAATTCATTTGCCCAAGTTTATCATAAGACATTAACAACTTTCTGAAGGCGCAACGAGAATGCCCGTCTGTGTGTGCGTTGTGCACGTCTAACACTTTGTGTAGCGTTAGCATTGATGCTAATGAAAACAGTCCTCTGGTAGATGGAAAGGCTTTCCCAAAACTACAAAGTGGCCTATGCTTACCATGATATCAAATAATCAATAATATCATGATTATTTTCATCAATCCAGTGGGTATTTGTTTTGCGAACTCTACAAAAACACCACTAAACAACTAAATAAGTAAATCTGCAAATAAGACTTTAATCTCAAGAGAAGACGGGTTAAGGTTTAAGTTTCTCTTACTTAGAAAATAGTCCTGATCATATAGGCCTACACCTAGACGATATCCCAAAAAACTAACAATACACTGAATTTATACATTCTCAGTCATTTCAATTGTAAAGTCATGTCTTTCTACACCAATAACACAACCAAAAAATTCCAATCTGGGAGGTAAACTCGATAAATTATTCAATAACTTCGCTGTGTATTTCGGATGGAAACAAGGCATTAGAATGTACCAGAGGACACACAATACCCCATAATGACGAAGCAAAAACAGTTGTTTCGAAATTTTTGCAAATGTATTAAAACATAAAACGGAAATATCATATTTACATAAGTATTCAGACCCTTTACTCAGTACTTTGTTGAAGCACATTTGGCAGTGATTAGAGCCTCGAGTCTTCTTGGGTATGACGCTACAAGCTTGGCACACCTGTATTTGGGGAGTTTCTCCCATTCTTCTTTGCAGATCCTCTCAAGCTCTGTCAGGTTGGATGGGGAGCGTCGCTGCACAGCTATTTTCAGGTCTCTCCAGGGATGTTCAATCGGGTTCAAGTCCGGGCTCTGGCTGGGCCACTCAAGGACATTCAGAGACTTGTCCCGAAGCCACTCCTGCATTGCCTTGGCTGTGTGCTTAGGATCGTTGTCCTGTTGGAAGGTGAACCTTCGTCCCAGTCTGAGGTCCTGAGCACTCTGGAGCAGGCTTTCATCAAGGATCTCTCTGTACTTTGCTCCATTCATCTTTCCCTCGATCCTGACTAGTCTCCCAGTCCCTGCTGCTGAAAAACATCTCCACAGCATGCTGTCACCACCATGCTTCACCGTAGGGATGGTGCCAGGTTTTCTCCAGTTGTGACGCTTGGCATTCAGGCCAAAGAGTTCAATCTTAGTTTCATCAGACCAGAGAATCTTGTTTCAGAGAGTACTTTTGGTGCCTTTTGGCAAACTCCAAGCCGGCTGTCATATGCCTTTTACTGAGGAGTGGCTTCCGTCTGGCCACTCTACCACAAAGGCCTGATTGGTGGAGTGCTGCAGAGATGGTTCTCTCATCTCCATAGAAGAACTCTAGAGCTCTGTCAGAGTGACCATCGGATTCTTGGTCACCACCCTGGCCAAGGACCTTCTCCCCTGATTGCTCAGTTTGGCCGGTCGGCCAGCTCTAGGAAGAGTCTTGGTGGTTCCAAACTTCTTCCATTTAAGAATGACGGAGGCCACTGTGTTCTTCGAGACCTACAATGCTGCAGAAATGTTTTGGTACCCTTCCCCAGATCTGTGCCTCAACACAATCCTGTCTCGGAACTCTATGGACAATTCCTTTGACCTCATGGCTTGGTTTTTGCTCTGACATGCACTGTCAACTGTGGGACCTTTATATAGACAGGTGTGTGCCTTTCCAAATCATGTCCAATCAATTGAATTTACCACAGGTGGACTCCAATTAAGTTGTAGAAACATCTCAAGAATGATCAATGGAAACAGGATGCACCTGAGCTCAATTTCGAGTCTCATAGCAAAGGGTCTGAATACTTATATGAATAAGGTTTTTCTGTTTATTATTTTGAATACATTTGAGAAAAAAAATCTAAAAAGCTGTTTTCGCTTTGTCATTATGGGGTATTGTGTGTAGATTGATGAGAAAATAAATAATTGTATCAATTTTAAAATAAGGCTGTAACGTAACTAAATGTGGAAAAGGGGAAGGGGTCTGAATACTTTCTGTATGTACTGGTGGAAAAAACTGTTTCTCTCTCTCTCGCAATTTTTTTTACAAATATTGTGCTCTGTTCTGTGTTCATGTTTGAATTGCATGTATGCACATACACTGTATTCAGCATTTTGTGCAGGTGTGTGTAATGTAGATTTATTTTAACCGTTTCTACAGGACGCCGTGGTTTAATGGCTGGGGTTTTAACCTTCCCCGCGGTCAGTCTCTACTGGACAAGTGGAATCAGGTTCCAGAGGGTATAGACGTTCTCATGACCCATGGACCTCCCCTCGGTGAGTTGAGTTCATATAACCCCAAAACACTCTATTCCACATGATAGTGTGTAGGATATTATCCCACAGACTGCTAAAACGGGTTGCACTTATTTGCCAGGATGATTACTGTGTCACTAATTCATTGCACATACTGGAAGTAATTCCACCGATAATTGATATTCAATAAATAGGATGAAAACAGGAATCTCTGATTATTGTCACAATGTTAGAAATCAACATTTGAAGCATATTTCTTGGACAATTGCTCTTTTGGATGGCACTTTATGAGAATTCAGTATGGAAAAATGTAATGTTAATTTCCCCCGCTGTAAAACAGTATATTAGCAGATATATCGGTATAGGTAAATTTTCCCCCTCAAAAAAATCTGAATCGGTATCAGACTATATAAATAAATATTAACTGGAAGTAATGGAAGCAGAGTTAGGGTGACATTTTCCTCACGGTAAAACGCGCCACGAGAAACAAAGCCTGTGCAATGACGAGTTGGGTATTTTCGCCTCACCTGTATTTGCGTCTGCATAGGTGGAGCCAGAAATGGGAGCGTCAAAAGGAGGTTTGGGGGGAGGGTATGCTAATTAACCTTTCCACATAAAGTATAATTACATGAATGTATTGAGAGGCTACGAGAATAATAAAACGGGGACAATAATGGTAGATAAATAATCCATAGTAGGCTATCATAGGCCCATGCTTTAAATGAGGCTGGTGTTGTTGCCTACGTTTTTATATTTGCCAAAAATAATATTATTGTCTGTGTATTACATTGTTAATGTCTAGCCTACTTTTAAGCTCTTGCAAGTAAAAAAATCGATGTTATTGCCTATGTTCCATCCAAACATTCACAGCACATATGTTAGTAATGCATCATTGTTTTATAGTGTAATTCCGAATAGCATTAAGACGAGAAAAATGTTGCCCTTAGTTTGTGCCTGACCTGTCTCACTATTATGAATGAATTGATTGTTAAATTCGTAACAAAAATACATGTATCTTTCTTATGCTTAATCCAGTGTATTAATCAGTCTTGGTGTGGTTTGGGACAGGTTTCCGTGACTGGGTCCCCAAGGAGCTCCAAAGAGTGGGCTGTGTGGAGCTGCTGAACACAGTACAGCAGAGGGTCCGACCCAAGCTCCACGCTTTCGGGGGCATCCACGAGGGTGAGTATTCTGTACCCTCTCCTCCATGGTTCTGGTTCTACACAATAACAGATTGGTAAAGTACTGAAGTACAGCATCCATATTAGGAAGGCGTCCGTTTTCAGGCAAAACACTTCCTAACATGGATGCTGTACTAGAGTGACACTTAATACTGTATCAGTGGGGGCTATCTTGTGCCATGCATCTCTAGGTTAACAGACCTGTTATTGTCTTTGTTTTGACTCTGGTGTATTATTTCTCTGTCCTCTGTCTGCAGGGTACGGCATTATGACGGATGGATGCACAACTTTCATCAACTCCTCCACCTGTACAGCCAGTTTCCAGCCCACCAACCCCCCCATCGTATTTGACCTGCCCAACCCATAGAGCATCAGAAATAAACCGGCATTTTTTTAAATCAAATGAGTTGTACTAAATGTTCATCTTCAAGATATTTGTCTTTTGTAAAAATGCTTGTAAAAATGCATGAAAATCTGATTCTGGTAATGAAATGATGATCTTTGTAAAATGTTTCATATTTTCCATTTGTTTGCATTTGCTGCGTTAACTGGTTTTCTGTGCCATTTGTCATTTTCTTTGTTTCCCCTCTCAAGACGTATAAGCTTTTTGTCTGTCAGGCAAGTACACTGCCTGACAGTAACGGTACCCTCTACATCAGCAATACTTGACCTCATGATAGAACATGCATTTGGCATTGTAACTTAAGTTATTTGGTCTCTGTTAAAGGCCTGTGTGTTGTTGAAAATGAAACATTTGAAATATATGAAACGTATCCAATTATTATATACAGTAGTCCCTTGGGATCTCACATTTGTTTTGGAAATGTATGTACAGGTGCTTCATCTCCCTTGATCTGGGGTGCGTTCAGCAGGACGCAACAGATTATGTATATTCTCAAATGTCCCCATCTTCCATGGAGTACATGTGAGTTGGTGTTTGTGTGAATTTAAATAGGCCCACTACAGCCTTTCAACAATGTATGTTATATGCTATTCATAGCACACATGCATTTAACTCACTTTTATATTTTTATCGATATTCAACAAACAGCTGGTTAAATTATATTTCACAACTGCCTAAGTAAAAGTGAGATGTCCCCTAAAGTACGGTAATAAGAATTTTGCTAATTATTTTTGTTTTGTTGCACAGTGTGAAAATGCAATCTTGCTAGCACAAAAAAGTTGCCAACGGTAGTCTTCTGTCATTGTAAATGCCTGTTTAGTTTCCTGGTTTATGAAACTTTTTTTTACTTGTGATACATTTAGTTGCCTTTATATGCAAATAAAATTGCAATATTTGTACCTGTTGAATAGCTATACAGTTTTGTTTATTTTATCTTACATACTGTAGCAGTGGAGCACATTAAAGGAAACAGTACATTGCTAAAGCGTCCCCCTCTCTCGCTCCCTTGGATAGAGGTAAAGCTGTATCTCTGCACTACCTGTCCTCCCTAGGCCAGATTGATTAAGGGCTGGATTCAATCTGTATCGCTAAAGTTCAGCGTTATATACAGATTGAATCGAGCCCTAAGTCTATTACTTATCCCCGGACTGACAGCAACATGGATTAATGGGTGCTTTTGACAAGGATGGCTGTGGCCGTTTGCTGTCCTGACACCTGCTATTGACTGGGGAGAATTGTCAGGGTGGCCTTGGCCCTGAAGGAAGGCTGACTGCCACCCTGTGTGTGTGTGTGTGTGTGTGTGTGTGTGTGTGTGTGTGTGTGTGTGTGTTTGGGTCCCCAAACAATAAATGTTTGTTTGGTTGTTTGTCTCCGCTTGCAGGGTGAGAGCTGCAGAGCTGAGTAAACAACTATCAGGAAAGCACACCAGCGCAATGGACCACCACGTGTACTTGAAAGGTCAGAGGCATGAGTTTTTACTCACCAATGTAACAACACAGTGTAGTGAAAGACTTAGTAACTTAGTTGTAGTCATGACGATCTGGTTACATATAAGTACAAACATAGTTATGTTTTTAGGTGATTTACATATTTATTAATTTATTTCCGGGTAACTTCTAAACTACCCACAATGCACTATTTCTCAGCGTCATATGGAGGATCTACTCTGCTACAGAGTTCAAATGCTAGCTCAGTAGCTAGCTCAAGCTGGCTAACGTTAACCACCACACCTGCTTTTCACAGACTTTGTGGCTGTTATCTAGTGGGAACCCATTAGCACGGCAGGCTCTGGTGCCTTCTTGCTGTGGGCTCAAAACAAAAGAGAAAATCATACCTGCTTGCTCTAATTGTGTAGTACCTAGTCTGTTATCCCTTTTGTTTTGTCAACTTTTTGGCATGTTCTCTGTGAAGTAGGCCACGGGAGTTTTGTAACTTTTTCCACCTTGGCTTAGTGCTAGCGCACTAGCTGACTGAATCTATCTATTTTGGATTTCGACCCGGTGAAATGCCCGCCTCCCCTTAGCTTTGGTAGCTAACTCAGCCTGCAATCTTTTAAAAGTTAACCGTCGGATGGGCCCCAACCATCAATCTGTAAGTCTCTGCTCTCACTTTGCTTTTAATATGCAGTTATGCATTAGTTGTGTTGTGTTCTAGCTGGTCTTGAGTAGTAAGGCTTTAGCTTGCATACCATAACTGTGGTGGTTGTCAAGGATGGCTAGGCTAATAGCTAGTTGGCTAAATAGCTAACATTAGCTGGCTGGCTAGCTTGTTGGCTAAGAGAACTGCATATAGCTAACATTCTTTGATAACTGGCGTGCCAAAACTTGGTTTACTTTAACGTACACTATACAGTGGGGGGAAAAAAAGTATTTAGTCAGCCACCAATTGTGCAACTTCTCCCACTTAAAAAGATGAGAGAGGCCTGTAATTTTCATCATAGGTACACGTCAACTATGACAGACAAATTGAGAGAAAAAAATCCAGAAAATCACATTGTAGGATTTTTAATGAATTTATTTGCAAATTATGGTGGAAAATAAGTATTTGGTCACCTACAAACAAGCAAGATTTATGGCTCTCACAGACCTGTAACTTCTTCTTTAAGAGGCTCCTCTGTCCTCCACTCGTTACCTGTATTAATGGCACCTGTTTGAACTTGTTATCAGTATAAAAGACACCTGTCCACAACCTCAAACAGTCACACTCCAAACTCCACTATGGCCAAGACCAAAGAGCTGTCAAAGGACACCAGAAACAAAATTGTAGACCTGCACCAGGCTGGGAAGACTGAATCTGCAATAGGTAAGCAGCTTGGTTTGAAGAAATCAACTGTGGGAGCAATTATTAGGAAATGGAAGACATACAAGACCACTGATAATCTCCCTCGATCTGGGGCTCCACGCAAGATCTCACCCCGTGGGGTCAAAATGATCACAAGAACAGTGAGCAAAAATCCCAGAACCACACGGGGGGACCTAGTGAATGACCTGCAGAGAGCTGGGACCAAAGTAACAAAGCCTACCATCAGTAACACACTACGCCGCCAGGGACTCAAATCCTGCAGTGCCAGACGTGTCCCCCTGCTTAAGCCAGTACATGTCCAGGCCCGTCTGAAGTTTGCTAGAGTGCATTTGGATGATCCAGAAGAGGATTGGGAGAATGGCATATGGTCAGATGAAACCAAAATAGAACTTTGGTAAAAACTCAACTCGTAGTGTTTGGAGGACAAAGAATGCTGAGTTGCATCCAAAGAACACCATACCTACTGTGAAGCATGGGGGTGGAAACATCATGCTTTGGGGCTGTTTTTCTGCAAAGGGACCAGGACGACTGATCCGTGTAAAGGAAAGAATGAATGGGGCCATGTATCGTGAGATTTTGAGTGAAAACCTCCTTCCATCAGCAAGGGCATTGAAGATGAAACGTGGCTGGGTCTTTTAGCATGACAATGATCCCAAACACACCGCCCGGGCAACGAAGGAGTGGCTTCGTAAGAAGCATTTCAAGGTCCTGGAGTGGCCTAGCCAGTCTCCAGATCTCAACCCCATAGAAAATCTTTGGAGGGAGTTGAAAGTCCGTATTGCCCAGCGACAGCCCCAAAACATCGCTGCTCTAGAGGAGATCTGCATGGAGGAATGGGCCAAAATACCAGCAACAGTGTGTGAAAACCTTGTGAAGACTTACAGAAAACGTTTGACCTGTGTCATTGCCAACAAAGGGTATATAACAAAGTATTGAGAAACTTTTGTTATTGACCAAATACTTATTTTCCACCATAATTTGCAAATAAATTCATTAAAAATCCTACAATGTGATTTTCTGGAATTCTTTTTCTCATTTTGTCTGTCATAGTTGACGTGTACCTATGATGAAAATTACAGGCCTCTCTCATCTTTTTAAGTGGGATAACTTGCACAATTGGTGGCTGACTAAATACTTTTTTCCCCCACTGTATATACAAAAGTATGTGGACACCCCTTGAAATTAGTGGATTCGGCTATTTCAGCCACACCCGTTGCTGACAGGTGTATAAAACCGAGCACACAGCCATGCAATCTCCATAGACAAACATTGGCAGTAGAATGGCCTTACTGACTTTCAACGTGGCACCGTCATAGGATGCCACCTTTCCAAACAAGTCAGTTCGTTAAAATTCCTGCCCTGCTAGAGCTGCCCCGGTCAACTGGAAGTGCTTTTATTGTGAAGTGGAAACATCTAGGAGCAACAACGGCTCAGCCGCAAAGTGGTAGGCCACACAAGCTCACAGAACGGGACCGTGCTGAAGTGCGTAGCGCATAAAAATTGTTTGTCCTCGGTTGCAACACTCACTACCGAGTTCCAAACTGCCTCTGGAAGCAACGTCAGCACAAGAACTGTTCGTCGGGAGCTTCATGAAATGGGTTTCCATGGCCAAGCAGCCGCACACAAGTCTAAGATCACCATGCGCAATGACAAGTGTCGGCTGGAGTGGTATAAAGCCCGACGCCATTGGACTCTGGAGCAGTGGAAGCGCGTTCTCTGGAGTGATAAAATCACGCTTCACCATCTGGCAGTCCGACAGACGAATCTGGGTTTGGCGGATGCTAGGAAAACCCTACCTGCCCCAATGCACAGTGCCAACTGTAAAGTTTGGTGGAGGAGGAATAATGGTCTGGGGCTGTTTGGAACACAGCTGCGGGGACTTGCTTCCATTCAGCCACAAGAGCATTAGTGAGGTCGGGCACTGATGTTGGGAGAATAGGCCTGGCTCGAAGTCGGCGGTCCAATTCATCCCAAAGGTGTTCGATGGGGTTGAGGTCAGGGCTCTGTGCAGGCCAGTCATGTTCTTCCACACGGATCTCAACAAACCATTTCTGTATGGACCTCACTTTGGGGACAGGGGCATTGTCATGCTGAAACAGGAAAGGGCCTTCCCCTAACTGTTGCCACAAAGTTGGAAGCACAGAATCGTCTAGAATGTCATT